CCGGAACAAGCTGTATACCAGAATCTAATGATGCCTTATTTTTAAAATGCCAGCCGCCCTGAAAAATAAACTCTGTACATGTTTGATAATAGTTGTGTCCTAAATGAGCTGTTCCCTCTGACCTACTTTTCTACCCACCTCAGATGTTAGAGGGAAGAGCACAAATTTTGGGCACATTCCTCCCCAGATCCCCAAAGCCCATGCTTGAAGGTGCCAGGATGGGGAAAGTGGCAAAGGAAGGCACTCTGTGCATGCCTAGAAGAACCTGTTATTCTTTAATATTTCCTCCAGGACCCCAGGAGATGCCTCGTTGAAGGAAGACTGTCAGAAGTCTGAAATCAGCCACTCTGAACCCCCAGAGGAGACCAAAAGAGCAGCTTTCCAGATTTATCCAGGAGTAAATCCCCCCCACAAGCTTCTCCCTCTTAACTTCTGGGATTATACATTAACCAGCTGCTGAGAGGAAACAGTTCTTGATCTAAACAGCCAACAGATTACAAGGGCGAAGGTGAAGAGTTTACATTTAAACCCATTTGATTCCTGCTATTCCTCCCTTCCTGCCCACAGGAACTCAGCCCTGAGCCCCCGCTCTCCTCCTGCCACACGCTCTGTGGGCTGCGTGGGACTCGGCAAATCCACCCAGCTCTTCTTTAGCACGACGGTGTCCTCGGGGCGCATTTGCAAGACTTGTTCTGAGAAGGACGGATTATTGGCTTGCTGCTAAATTTATACGCGGCTGCTCTACTTACAGAAATGCCTCCATTCACAGCTGGCATTTGGCTTCCAGTGCCTCCCCCCCCCACAAAAAACAAAAAACAAAAAAACAAAAAACCACTTCCCAGCCAATGCAGCAGGAATTTTATCTCAGATCATGACCTGCAGTTTTGGAGGCCTGCAGTGTTTTCACTTGCTCTGCTCAGCGCACTGAACATGTTCTCTGCAAGAGAATCCTGGATTTCCTGTTTCCTACCGAATTGGGGACAAACACCTTGCTGGAACAGAGCGGCACGGATCATTGCTCCCTGCACACATTCATGGACCCAGCAACCAAGGACATCACTTGCATTCATTTAGACCTGCAGAAAGCGGAATCCAAACTTAGAGGTTCCACCCTGAGTAGGGCACTGGAGAGCTATTATTACAGTCAGCGCAAGGCAGTAAATTCACACATTCAGCTGTCTGAGGTCCAGAAATGGGTCAATCCCTCACTCATGCACACCCAGCAGCCTCAAAGGATCTGCAGTCAGCAGCCCCAGTGCCATTCTGCACAGATGAGGGCATCCATCAGACGGGGGTGGGAGGTGGGAGAATTCCAGAGAAGCAGAAGGCAGATTCTTCTCTTCGCCCAACTCAACCTTGGTTTCTCCAAAGGCCCCAAAGCAGAAACTGCACCTTCCAGGAAAGTTTTGGGGGTGCCAAGCAGGTGCCCTGTCACTAGGCCAGGTCTTGCCATTCTGGATATGGATATAAGCTTCAGACCAGGGGGTCTCCAACCTTGGCAACTTTAAGACTTGTGGACTCAGCAAAGCTAGCTGAGGAACTCTGGGAGTTGAAATCCACAGGTCTTAAAGTTGCCAAGGTTAGAGACCCCTGCCTCAGACTTCTAAGAAGCTCAAAACATTTTTTTTTTAAAATTTGATTTATATGCCGCCCTTCTCCGAAGACTCAGGGCGGCTTACAATGTGCTCAGCAATAGCCTTCATCCTTTTGTATATTTATACAAAGTCAGCTTATTGCCCCCACAAACTGGGTCCTCATTTCACCTACCTTAGAAAGGATGGAAGGCTGAGTCAACCTTGAGCCTTGGCGAGATTCGAACTCTGCAGTAATTGCAGGCAGCTGGTCTTAATAAGCTTAATAACAGGGTGCCTTAAACCCCTGTAGTACCAAGGCTCCAACTCTTTTGGAGTTTCTACCACTGAGCTTGCTGATTGGCGGTAGAATTCAAATACTAATTCAAAGCCAAAGGAAACCAGATGATCCCGGCTCAGCAAATCTTCTGCAGGCAGGCCAGTAACCAGATGTTCTCCAAAACACATCTGGAATAGATCAGAAGACTGCAACTGAAGAGGAAGGCTTAGCTGGCCCACTCCACAGATTACAGAGGGAAAGAGGCAGCCAGGCTAACACTGAGACCCACATCATAAATCATCCTACCTATCAGTGTGTGATATATTGCTGTGGGGGGGAACCTCCAGGCCTTTCACCCAGGAGGAAGGATGGCTGAGCCTTTCCCAAGCAAAGGGTGGGGCCTTCCTCAGGCGATCCCTTCCTCTGTGCGGGGACTCCTTGCCTGGGAAAGGTGGTTTCCCTTTTATTGAGCTCTGCAGTCAGAGTCTGCCTTTCTGTGGTTGAGTTCACATGGCACTCTGAACCACACTCTGTGCAAAAGAAGTAGGTGAGGGGTCAGCAAGTTCTGCAAATCCAAGGCTTTGAGTGAGCTGTGAGTTAGCTAAACATGGATAAGACGGTTGCATGTACCTCTTTCAACATAGCTTCTCCCTTCGTATTTCACTGTATTGAAATGTTTTCTGAGCAGCCCAGAGTTGCCTTGTAGTAAGATGGGCAGCAAATTAATTTAATAAACAAACTAAGAAACAATTTTCTCCCTGTTTAGTCCCTCCTCAGTCCCTGAGATTCGAAGGTTTCTTGATTGCTCCATTCTGCCTGACTCCAGACTGGGTAATGCACATACCCCGTGACACCCCAGCCACAGGCGAGACCAGGCTGGCTCTCTTGGAAGTGGAGGAGGGTGTGATGTCTTAGCTAAGCTCCAGAAAGGTCAGGTAAGGGAGGGGTTGTGTATAGACACATAGCGAAATAAAGTTCCTGCCTTTGGGTCTAATCCCTCCCTCCTCAAACAGGGTCCACCAAACTGGAATATGTGCAAGGCATATTCTACAGAGAATCATTAAAACTGCCCAGAATATCATTGGACTCCAGCTACCGGCCCTGGACGACATCTTTGAATCTCACTGTTTGAGAAAGTTGCATAACATTCTCAGAGACTCTTCCCATCCTGCTTACAATCTTTTTGGACTGTTGCCTTCTGGCAGAAGATACAGAACAATTAAAACTCAGACCACACGTTTTCTGAATAGTTTTTATCCCAGAGCTATAATTGCACTCAACCATGAACTGAAGGCCCACCATCAGTGAGCTGTTGGACAGCATTACTTGGTCTGTTGTGTGGATGTTTGGGTGGTTTAGGGGTGGGGAATTGTGGTGGTGGTGGGGCATTTGGGGATTATTATGTGTGTTGGACCTGGTCTTTGGGTGTTAAGTGAATTTCGTTGTATGGGTAATACTGTATATGCACATATAATGACAATAAAGTTATTATTATTATTATTATTATTATTATTATTATTATTATTATTATTAAATCTTTAGTGAGATTCACAGCCTTTGAGGCTGGTTAATAGCTCAGCAGCTTGAGTCCTAACTAAGGACCTAGGAACTGTTAAGGTATCGTTGGAGGATGTAAAATGATGATGATGATGATGATGATGATGATGATGATGATGATGATGGCAGGGAGGGGGTTTCCAGCCCTTCAAAAACCCCTCCTTGAAACATTAACTCTTCTTGGCTTAGCAGGCTAGGCAGAATAAAATACAGCACATTTTCGTGCGTTGGCCAATCACTTTCAGCGTCAAGGTGCCAGTCGTCCTTGCTGCGGCTGTGGGAATGTGGGTCATAAACCGAGCCGCACCTGGAAACTTCCCCGCTTCACGACGGTGGGGATGAAAGCTTTGAGCCCCCAACTGTGGGCTGGGCGTGGACAGGGAAGCCGCTGTGTCAGACGTACAAAGGACCCGTCGAAATCCTTTCAGGCTGTCTTTGGCGGAAAGGCCGCCCTCCTTCCATCCCGGGGCGGCGAGCTCCCCACATTAAGGGCCCTGCCGGGGACGGGGTACAGGATTTACTCCTGCCCCTGACTGCGGAGGGGGGGGATCGGGGCGCAGAAGGGCGCCCGCTCGGTGCCCAGCCGAGGGATTCGCCTCTCGCGCCGTGCAGCGCTTGGCCGCGGCGGCCAGAGAAAGCTTTCCCTCTGTGCTCCTTCCCTGCCCGCCGCGGAGCCTTCATGCCGTTTCTAGAATATAGTAAAAGTTTCTATTAATACCCAACAAAAGCCGCGCGCGCTCAGGGGGCGGATCAGCGCGGCTGGTGCGGCCGCCGCAGCGCGGCTTAGCAGAAAGGGATTCCCTCTGACGTATTGCTAAGGATACCAAACAAACACAGCACAAGACCAAATATGGTTAATTGCGTCACACAGGAACACCCGGGGGCGGAGCGAGGGATCCCCTGCTTTAGCGCTTGAAAAAGACCCCCTTGCCGGGGCCGCCGAGAGACCTTCTTGGGCTGGAGGAGCCGCAGGGACCGGAGAACGCAACCGCTCGAGTTTGGGGCGCGGAGACGGGCCCGGAGCCCGGTTTCGGCGGCCCCAAAGGGTCTTTTCCTGGTGACGTGAGCAGGGACCCGCCCCCTTCCTTGTATAAATAAGCCACACTGTCGACCGCGCTTCATTCATAAGATTTTGACCCGCGACGGAGACGGAGCTGCGAGGGACGCCGGCGGTGGACTCCCCTTTTCGCCCGCATCCCCGTGGCCGCCGCCATCTGAGCCGAGGCGCCGGGCTTTGCAGGCGCTGCAGAATCGGAGCCAGGAGCGCTCCTCCCGGACTTGAGCGGACGCTTCCACCGGCGGTGCCCAGCCGCTGCAACACGTGGATCTAGGACCGGGCGAGCCTCTCGCCGCTCAGGGCGCCCGCCGTCTCCCCCCCAGGCACTGACAGCCGGAGGGGGAGGAAGAAGGAGCGGCCAGCCGGCCCCGCTTGGAGGCAACTTCGCCAGCCCGACCTCGCGGCGGCGGCGGCGGCGGCGGCGGCGGCACTCTCGGCCGGCCGCTCGCCCGCTGGCTGGCCCCGCTTGCCCCTCATCTTGGCTTCCAGGCGACCCCCGCGCGGCCGCGGCTTCCTGCCTGCGCCCCCGAGGGAGATGTATCAGGGCTTCCCCGGAGACTACGACTCCACCTCCCGGTGCAGCTCGTCCCCCTCGGCCGAGTCCCAGTACCTCTCCTCGGTGGACTCCTTCGGGAGCCCCACCGCCGCCGCTGCCGCCTCCTCGCAGGTAAGGGACGGGGGCGCCCGGCTGCGGGTCTTGGGGGGGGTCTCCCTGGAGGGCGGGAATAGCGCGGGTGGTCCGATCCCGGGGGGTCTTTGCGACCCCCGTCTTTCCTTCGCTCCCCTGCCCCTCCCCCGGCCAGATTTGGGGGGGCCCCCCCCCCCCCCCCCCCCATTGCCCATCGCGGTGCGGACGAAGCGTCTTTCTCCCGGCATCCGGTCGCCGTCCGAGGCGTTGCAAAGGGGGTCGCCACCCTCTGCCCCCAAGTCCTCCTCATCGTCCCCTTTCAATTCTTTTCCCCTTCCCTCCACGCACGCGCGCTGGAGGAGAGGCGAGAACGCGAGCGAGAAAGGGGGGCGGGGTTGTGCGTAACGCATGACGTACTGGAACGCTCCGTGCTGACGTGAGGCACGTACGGCGCGTTTTCCTCCCCCTCCTCCTCCCCGAGGCGCGCGGGTTATTTTGGAAAGCTGGCCCTCCCCCGTTGCTAGGGGGAGGGGCAAGGCCGGGGGCCGCTCGGATTGGTCGAGCGGCTCTCCAGCCGCGCCCCCTCCGACCTGTCCTTCTACCAGCTGAGATCGCAGGGCTGCCCGAGATGGTCCTTGCGCGGGCGGGAGGCTTTTGCGGGGCTGCCATGCCGGCCCTGCCCGGGGGGCGCCCGAGGGGTGGCTGTTTGGCTCGCCTCCCCCCCCGGCGCCGGACCACTTGCCCGCTGTGGATGATGGGTCTCGAGGTGCAGCCCTGCGCGAGAGCGCGGCTGTCCCCGGGCTGCCCGGCTCGGGGGACCTTGGGGATCCCCCGGGTCTGGGGAACGGAGCCCGCCGGGCTGCCCTCCTCCCAGCTCGGCCGCGGAGGCTCTTGCCTCCCTGCGGGCTGATCTTGGCTGGCCAAAGTGAAGCCCCCGCCCTCGGAGTCCGAATGAGCCCCAGTTTAAGTTTAAGTTTATTAAAATTTATATGCCCCCCTTCTCCCGAAGGACTCGGGCGGCTCACAGCAATAAAATCACAATAAAACAACAATAATAAATATGATTAAAATTAACAATTAAAATTCAGTTTAAACCCCACAATTAATTAAATTAAGTTCCCGGCCATGGCTTGATAGAGCCGGCTTTTGGCTTCGAGAGTCAGCGCTCAGCTCTGGTCTGCGGGGCTCCCTGGATGAGGGTGCGGCTGTAGAGGGGGTGTCTCTGGGGTCCAGCCTGCCCAGCCGGTGCCTAGGGCGACATACCAGTCCCTTCTGGCTGGTGCCTTCCCTCCCCGGGTATGGGGTCCTGCATGCTGGACACAGGAGCAGTGCAAATGGGAGCTGCTTTGGCCGTGGGATGCCTGTGGAACCGCCTTGGAGGGGGGTGCGGTGCAGCCAGGGAAGTGCTCCCTGTTCTCCAAAGCAGACCCCCATAATGAGCACCTGACCCCTTCACTTTCCTCCAGGAGTGCAGCGGCCTTGGGGAAATGCCCGGATCTTTTGTGCCAACAGTGACCGCTATATCCACAAGCCAAGACCTCCAGTGGCTGGTGCAGCCCACCTTGATTTCCTCAATGGCTCAGTCTCAACAGCAGCAGCAGCAGCAGCAGCAGCAGCAGCAGCCTTCGGGGCCACATCCACCCCCAGTGGACCCCTATGACTTGCCCGGCCCCAGTTACGCTGCCCCAGGAATGGGTGCCTATGCGGCTGGCCCTTCGACTGTCCCTGTGGCTGCGACCACTCCGCCTCGGTCCAGCAGGGCCCGGCCCCGAAGAACACGGGAAGAAACGGTGAGCTGCTTTTCCTTCCTCGGCCAGGAGATCATGAACTCGGTTCTCTTTGCTTGCTAAAGTTTGATATCTGGCGTGTTGGAATCTCCCAGAAGAGATTCCCCGTTTCCAAATTGTCTCCTTGGAAGTTGGGATGCCTTGTGGGGAGGACTTAATATAGCTAGAAGATTATCAACAGTCTATTCACCATTGAAAATCCATTGTGAGTGTTCTTACAAAATGGGAATTGTGCGGAGTGCCCCGGTCACAAAAACACATGTTCGCCTCAAGAAAAATAGAGCAGCTGACAGGCAGCCTCCTTCCCCAATTCTGTTTTCTAAGAAGGTCTTGGGAGGAAAACAGGGGTTAGGACAGCAGCGTGTGCTCTGCAGTTTGCTAAGCTCCCATTCATTTTTTGAAAAATTAAAACAATCTAAAAAATGGATCTTCCTGGGGCAATGAGTTTGAAGGTTCCCAAAAATCATCTTGATGGTCTTTTATAGCTTCAGATGCTACTTTGGGAGACCAGGAAATCCAGAGGACTAGTTCTGCTGCGTCCAAATTTGAGGCCAAACAGAAGCTAGTTCTGGTGACATTGAATCAAATGCTGCAGTAACCAACATTGGTCGAGCTACTTGCGGCTATATTATCTTGATTTGACATGCCTTGAGGAGTAGATGTGTGTCATAAGGCAGGCGCCTCCAACCTTGGCAACTTTTAAGACTTATGGACTTCAACTCCCAGCATGCACTGGCTGGGGAACTCTGGGAGTTGGTCCACAAGTCTTAAAGTTGCCAAGGTTGGAGACCCCTGTTGTAAGGCCCACAGACGCTCTTGAATTTCATGAAAAAAAAAAACATTTTATGCCCCAGTTTAGAGCCTTATCAGTTTAGAAATACACTGTGCCGATTTATTTAATTTAGAGGTTTTATAGCCCACCATGCCTAAAAGACTCTGAGTGGCTTACAAGGCATGAAGGTTACAAAAAGCAAGCCTAGGAATAAACCAACATGATAAAAAACAGCCTTAATCATAAAACAACCCATGAAGCCTGAATTGGGGTTGGAATAAATTTGCTTTAAAGATCTTCAAAAGCCAAAGTGTTCCAACAGGCAGACTGGCCGGCTGTTTGGTTTGTTCCTTGCTTGGACATTTCTGTCCCCCCTCCCTGCCTCCCCCTCCCCATCTATCTGTCATAAAGGATGATGACACAGTTTCATCTTCCCATCCGTGTTTTGGGGGTGCTTTTAATTTGCCCCCCAGTTGCAAGAAAGTGCCAGGAGTCCTGGGAAGCCTCTGGCCTTACAATGGCAGCCGATGCCTGATCTGCCTCTCCTTTCTGCTCACACAGCTGACCCCCGAGGAGGAAGAGAAGCGCCGGGTCCGCAGGGAGAGGAACAAGCTGGCGGCTGCCAAGTGCCGGAATCGACGTCGAGAACTGACCGACCGGCTTCAAGCGGTGAGTTTTAGTGCAAATAGGGGGGTGAGTTAGTGTTATCCTTGTTCTGGCCTTATAAAGCCCCCAGGAGGGAATCTGGTATCTTGTCCCTGTGGTGGCTGCATAGATTCCGACTCCTAAGTCAAAGGCTTTGGCCATTTGGACCTTCCTTAAGCAAGGAGCCAGTTGTCAGGATAGACCCCTGGCCTTGAGTTACCTTATCTTGAGAGGATTTATTATAATTTATTGCGGGCCTCGTCCTTAGGAGGAGGATGTTTCACTTTGCATTAGAATCATTCATTCTTTTATTTCAAGGGGGCAGGGGTGTCTGCATGGTGCAGTCAAAAAGTCAAGGATGCAGCCCCAAAGCTGCCATTGCAGCTCCTAGAAAGCTGGCAGAGCTTCCACTGTGCTGATGCCGATGTCACCTTGACTTTTCTGACCACACTTTGCAGAGTTTTCTGAAAGTTTGGGGGTGATGCTGCTCCACCAGTCCTCTGAAGTGGAATGCTCCAGGGGGAGATGCTGCTGGGGTACCGCTCTGGGTCTTCTAGCGGCCCACCTGGGGGTGGCTGAGGAAGGGGTCCCCTTGGACCTTTTCCTTCTCCTGTGCTCATGGGCCATTTGGGAAAAGGAGAAGGAAGAAGCTTTCTCTGCCACCCTCACTAAGATTTGGTGGCGTCTGCTCCAGCAAGCCACGCCCCCTCCAAATCCACAAATAAGGACCCCCGGGAGACCAAAGGCCTTCCCCTTGGAAAGACCCCAGCCCAGTCCCTGCACCTTAAAGCAGGGGGGAACCTGGAAGGTAGGGGGAGGGAGGGGGACGGTGAGGAAGGATCCCAACAATTAACGCTTCCCTTGAGCTGAGTCTCCAATGGGCCTGGAAGGAGGAGACGAAATGGGCAAGAAGGAGGCGCTGCTCTGGGCCGACTTGCTTGCCTCCCTGGTTCCTGGCTGCTCCAGCCCAGCCTGACCTGGTGCTGCCTCTTCCCCAGGAGACGGATCAGCTGGAGGAAGAGAAAGCTGAGCTGGAGTCGGAGATTGCGGAGCTGCAGAAGGAACGGGAGCGGCTGGAATTTGTCCTCGTGGCTCACAAGGGCAGCTGCAAAATCCCCTACCAGGACATCACGGAACTGAGCGGGCAGCCCGGCCCCTCGGCAGAGGTCAGCGCCCTGGCCATGCCGGTCAAGGAGGACCCCTTTGGGCCCTCGGCCTCCTACTCCTCAGTGCCCCTGCATTACCAACAGGCCCTGGGCGGACTCCCGGCCACAGCCCTGGCCCCGGCGGAGGTAGCGTTTTCTAGTTCTTACTTTAGCCATGGTGAAGAGCTGACCGACCCGTACCCGGTTAACCCTTCCTATACGTCTTCGTTTGTGTTCACCTACCCAGAGGGAGCCACCTGCGGAGCCAGCCACCAGCGGAACGGCAGCAGCGACCACTCCCCGGACTCTCTGAACTCTCCCTCGCTCCTTGCTTTGTGACACTCAAACCCACAACTTGCGCCTTTGGGTCTAGCCAGCCAGCCCACCCACCCCTGCCAATGCTGGGCTGGGCGAAGGGGGCCGGAGCCCCAATGCGCCTGGGCACACCGCTACCACCTGGGAGCCTCTAACCCGCTCTGCTGCAACTGCAGCCACCGCCTCTAGCCCTTGCGATGCGTTCTCATTCCCTCCTTGGGGGTACAGCACACGGTGGAGCCAATGGTTGTCCTTTGGCCCTCTCCTCGGCCGATTCCCACATCGAGAGGAGAAAGGAGGATGTTTCTGGGCTGTGAGTTGGATCCCCCTACCCAGAGAGCGCCCAGCCCACCTTTTCTCCTGGAAACAGGATTTGCCTTCTACTGAATTGGGACGCTTGGTGGATCTGGACGATGCCGTTTCCCTCCACACTTCATCACTGTTTCTGTCAATGAGGGCTGTGCCAAGGGGCTGCCCTGCAGAGAGGAAAACTTAAGGGGGAAGGCCCTCCCTGTGCTGCCCCCACCCAGCTCATGTGTTGTGGTGGCTTTGTGAATGTGTTAACTGCATGGTTTTAAAACAGGCACTTTATCGCTTTTGCTAGTCAGCTTCGCATCCTGAGTGTTGGATCTCTCAGGCTACAATTCTACAGGATCTGCTTCCTCTAGGATGAAAATTCCACATTAAATGGCCAATCAGGGCAGACCTTTTATGGATTATTTGGGCACATTCCTGCTGAAAGCTTTTGTCATATTAAAGTGGGCCAAACTGTTGCAGCCTTGCTTTTTAATCGCCCGTGGACTTCTGCAAATTGTAAGGCTGCTCTTGGGCATTGGATTCTTTGAGGTCAGGGTGATATTTCTTTGGTGGGCATTCAACTCTCCCTGAAACCTTCAACCAAGCAAATTAATTGTGCCATCAAGTCAGTGTTGATTTTTAAAGATCTATTTCAGTTTCCAGTTTTGGAAATGGGAATGATGGGTGATACAAAAAACACTTTATCTGGGAGGAAACTTTTGAGAAGCCAAAGGAAAATGGGACCTGCAAAAAACCCCCAAAGCAGCTGAGATTTTTCTTCCACTGCTGTTGTAGGTGGGCTGGCTGGCCACTCCCTGCCAGGCCCAGGCGGTGCTTCCAGTGAGTCCATCCACCCAGCAGGCTTGACTAGTGGACTTTCTGCATTCCCTGGAAGGGATCCACTTCCCTTTGGCCACCTCCCTTGCTCGGTTTCTTTGACTGGCTTCCAGGAGGGATGGGGGGTGGGGTGGGTCTGGGTGACAAATACTGTGAAGGGACCTCTGCAAGTGACTGCTTTCCCTGCAGTTGGGAACTAGGTTTCTGCTTCCTGACCTTGGCCAGCTGGACCTCAAACTCATTGCATTCTCCCACTTAGGACGGTCAGCTGCTGCCCCTCTGCTCTCAGGCCAGGCTTCTGGGCTGCCCAGCGGTCCGAAAGGGGTCCGTCTCTGCTGCTTTAGACTGGTAGTTTGGAGTGTGACCGCTTCAATTGCTCACTGCCTCCCCCACCTCTGGCCTAATCACACTGCTGCTTTTCCAGACCTGGTTCTCCTGGCCAGGGGGCTTTCTTGCCCCACCCTGAGGCCTCTTCCCCCCCCCCGACCCAAGCTGTGCCAAGTGCACCTTCTTTGAGAGCATCAGCCCTTCTGAGCCTCCCCCCCAGGGCTGCTTTCCATTTTGTGCTGGGGGTCCTCAGCTACTCTGCATTTGTGGGGTGTTTTGTGCAGCCTGCTCTGTTCTGTGCCTCTGGTTAACCTCCCCTCGAGTGTGTTTCTGGACTGAGAAAGCTGCTGTGCTGCTTCTTGGCTCCCCAGAGCTCGCCATGATGCTATACAGAATGTTTCCAAAACTTTTTCTTGTGACCAAGCTTTGGATGTTGTGCGGTTTTTTTTATTATTTTATTTTTTTAACCTATGGACTTTTATTTAACCAGCTTTTTTAAAAAAACAAAAGAAAACAAAACAGATCCTTGCCGGGGTTGGGGGAATATTTTTATTTTTAATTATTGTTATTTACCCCTTTGTGCTGTAATATTTTTTTGTGATGTATTTGATGAAGCAATCCGAGGGCCAGTAGAGGAAGGCGAAGTTTGGCCCCTGCTTTGGCCCTCCTGTCCTGCACTTAACTGGTCAGCAAAATAGCAAATAAACACAGCTTTGAAAAAGATGCACTTTTTATGATGAATATATGATCTATTTTTTCAAATTCATGTAAAGAAAAAAATGAGATGCAATAAAAGATCTCAAGCCGTAGATCTGCCTGGCTTTCTCCACATTGAGACCCGATCGCCCGTTGCCGTCACCCTCGGTGTCCTGGGTGGTGGGCTTGGGTGAAGTTGATGAGAGGCCCTTGCAGGGGACTCTCTGGTGTCACCCCAGGATCCATATAGTCTTTGTCAGTCCTGTTAAAAACAAGCATGTTTATTATCTGGTGGTGTCTTCTGCTAAAATTTTATCTCCTGGGATTGTTGAGGTAGAGTCTTGTTGCATATGTAGGCTCCACTTAGCAGTGAAAACCTGAAAGGTGAATAAGCCATCCTTGTATAGAGAAGGAAAGAGAGCACCAGCTTCTCATGACTTAGCAGCACTTGAGAAGTGGCTGGCTGTTGCCTCCACTGCCTCCTGCTGGGACTGCTGCATCCTGGCCAGTCTGGCCTATGGCCCTTGGTGTCCCTGCAGATCTCCCGCCCCAGAGTCACTTAGTGCTGCCCCCTGCTTACTTTAATTCCTGACTACCTACAGGTAGTCTTCAACGTACAACAGTTCATTTAGTGATTGCTTGAAGTTACGGCACTGAAATAAGTGACAATGATTGATTTTTACATGATCATTGCAGCATCCTCATGGTCACATGATCAAAATCCAGACACTTGGCAACCAGCATGTACTTAGGACAGTTGCAGTGTCCTGAGGCCATGTGATCCCCTTTTGCGACCTTCTGACAAGCAAAGTCAATGGAGGAGCCAGATTCACTTAACAACCATGTTACTAACTTAATTGCAGTGATTCACCTAACAACTGTGGCAAGAAAGGTCATAAAAGGGAGCAAAAACTCATAACAACCGTCTCTCTTAGCAACAGAAATTGGGCTCAATTGTGGCCATAAATGGAGGACTGCCTAGTTTCCAGTTGTGGTTGAGGTGTTGTGATCCTTGGGCTCCCTCTGCTGGCCACACTCCCAGCCCAGCTGGATGGAGACTGATCCATAGGCCAAATTATTTTAAACTACTACTGACCACGTACAAAGAACCTCTCCCCAACCTTCCCTCTTCAGGTCTCCCAACCATGTCCCCATCACCCCTGTAACTGGGTCCCTCCATTTGGCAGCCGATCATGGTCTTCTCTTTCTTTCCATCCTTCCCAGCATCAGAGAGTTTGGTCCTCATGATGAAGGGTCTTCAACTTTGGCAACTTTAAGCCTGGCAGACTTTAACTCCCAGAATTCCCCAGCCAGCCAGCCAGCCAGCTTTGCTGAATTCTGAATTTTCTGAATTCTGGGAGTTGAAGTCCGCCAGGCTTAAAGTTGCCAAGGTTGAAGACCCCTGATCATTATGCAATTTGTCAAAGATGGATTGTTGTGGGCTTGTTCCTTTAATCTTGGTTTTCCTCCAGGAGATCCAAGTGGCACTTATTATATTTCCCCCTCCTGTACTTTCCCAACCACCACACTGAGGAGTAGGTACACTGAGTGAGGGGCTGTGCCAGAATCCCCCCAGGATCGAGGGGGTTTTGCATCAGGGTCTTCCCAGTCCTGGGGTGAACCAAGGAAGGCTAGTGGGCACAGGTGCTACATGATTTCCATCACCATTGGCAGTTGTTATAGGTCAGGGGTCCCCAAATTGGGCAACTTTTAAGACTTGTGGACGTCAATTCCCAGAATTCCTCAACTGGCATAGCTGGAGTTGGAAGGGACCTTGGAGGTCTTCTGGTCCATCCCCTGCTCAGGCAGGAAACCCTATACCATTTCAGACAAATGGCTGTCTAGTCTCTTCTTGAAAACCTCCAGTGATGGAGCACCCACAACTTCTGGTGGCAAGCCATTCCACTAGTTAATTGTTCTCACTGTCAGGAAATTTCTCCTTAGTTTCAGGTTACTTCTCTCCCTAATCAGTTTCCATCTGTTGCTTCTGCCTTTGGGTGCTTTGGAGCATAGGTTGATAGGAATTGCACAGCCGGTGTCCAAATGGAGCCCAAAACACTGACACCTAGTTTTAAATAAATATATTTTACAACTATATATATATAGTTGTATACTTATATAGTTATATATATAGAGAGAGCGTAAGTCTGGGAGTTGAAGTCCACAAATCATAACGGGGCCATCCATGTCCACCCTTGAGGTAAATTAACACTGCAGGAACATCGTGAGGTAAAGTCTACAGCATACATGGCACACACAGAAGAAAAAGGCGGGAAAGAAGGAAACTCCCCCTTGACACTCACATCAACCAATCACAGCTCAGATTCCCTCATGCAGTGAGGGACTCAGCTACAAAGGGTGTGTTCTTACTCGTTTTCCAACCCTTCATTTCTCCAGCTATTAAACTGAATATCTTAACAGATTCCTTCTTCTTTTTGGCCCCCTCAGATATTGGAACACAAGTCTTAAAAGTAGCCAGGTTTGGAGGTCCCCATTTTAGGCAAATCCCACCAATTGCCTGTGTGGCAACTCAATCGCTTGCAGGAATAAGACCAGGACATGATTTACTTGCACAATTTCGGCAACACGGACAGGCAAAGGGCGTTCTGGCCCCAACTTTTGTGGCTTGGACACTAAGCCCCTGCAGTTTACAACTAGACTTTATGACTTGGTGTGGAGGAGGAGCAAAAAAAGGAATTTTGGCAGGGAGACATATTCACACACCCACACAGTGCACCACAGCCACGAGTGAAGACTCGGGAGACCAAGCGGTCATGCGTACCTATTTTTTTCTCACAACTGTTTTTATTAAAGTGTAAATATCCAGGCAAAAAGAACTGGCTGCACCCAACCCGCCAGCTGATCAGCCAAGCTGAAGCCCGGCCCATGACGAGAGGCAGGGGCGGGGGGGAACAGCTACAATATCCCACAGACCGGGGGGGGGGGGCGCAGAGGTGGTCCTGACCAACCTCGAGCGGCTCCCCTTCCTCAAGAGGGAAGGATGCTCCAGGTTGGCCGGCCTCAACTCCGGACCCAGGACAAATACTGCAGGCAGGAGGAAGAGGAGGAGGAGGAGGAGGAGGAGGAAGTTGCCAGGACATGGAGGGAGAAAGGAGCGTGGGATACTAGCCCCTCGGCTCTTGGTAGACAAATCCTTGGCTGTGGGTGGGTGAGTGGGGGCTTCTCTCAGCCCCCTCCTCCCCAGGAGGGAAAGAGGCAGCCCTTAGCAGCTTCCCTGAGCCTCTGCAACTGCAGGGCTGAGATTCAAAGGGATGATGGTCCTCCCCCGACCCCCTTGCAAGGGTTCCCCAATTTCTCGGGGGGAGCTGAAGGAAAACCAGCAACTGCCCAGCCCCTCCAGGCCAAGGAAAGTGGGAGAGGAAGGGTCACTACTCAATGGCTGGGGAGGGGAAGTAAGGAAGAAGAAGAAGAAGCAGGCTGTGCGTTGTTGTTTGCATCTGTGTGAGCAGGGAAGAGAAGCACCACCGAGACTCCTCATTCTGCCTTCGCTTTTGCTGTCGGCAATATGGCCAGCATCCTGGGGAGAAAAAGAGAAACTGAGCCAGCCAGAGGAGGAATCTGCTTTCCAAAGTCTACCTTCAGTTAACAGAGTTGGAAGGGACCTTGGAGGTCTTCTAGTCCAACTCCCTGCTCAAGCGCAGGAGACCCTGTGCCTGGAGTGTCCAACCTTGGCAACTTTAAGACCAGTGGACTTCAACTCCCAGAATTCCCCAGTCAGCACAGCTATGCCATTCCAGGCAAATGGCTGTCCAATCCCTTCTTTAAAGCCTGTTTAAAGCTTCAGTTCAAGCCTTAGGGTGAAGCACAGACCATCCTGAGCACCCGATCAATATGTCTTAGACCCTTTGGAGTCCATTGTGGCTATTTTTATAAAGTTTTCTTTCTAAATTACATTCCATTTTCTCCCAAGAAATAAGGCAGAAATAACTATCTTTTGAGAAGTGTTTTGCGGGCTCACATATTGGATCCAAGGGAAAAAATAAATTCAGAAAATTAAGCTCAGAGATGGGCAGCATATACATGAAATAACTAAATATTATGTCACCAATACACGAAGAACGGAGCCCAAGAAGGCATTCAAATGGCTTATTCTCCTCCCACCCCCTGCCCCATTCTGCTCTGGGGATTTTTTGAACTTACTTTGCTCTGAGGTTACTCAACTGGTTCCTCACCAGCTCTACATACTGGTCGATCTGTGCCTGAATGGAGGGGGGGAGGAGAAACAGGGATGAGCCCCTCCAAAAATAAGAACATGGAACTAGTTGTTGCTTTGCCCCCTCCTCTTACTTCTGAAAATCTGCTACTCAGAGTCAGGCCACTGCAGTATCTTATGTTCACGGGACCAAAATTCAGACACTTAGCAACTGACTCCTATTTATGGCCTTTGCAGTTTCCCTGGGTCATGTTCTGATATACAAAGTCCATGGGGAAGCCGGAGTCACTTAACAACTGTGTGATTAACATAACAACTGTGGCAAGAAAAGTTGTAAAATGGGACAAAGCTCACTTAACATGTCTCACATAGCAACAGACATTTTGGGCTCTTGTGGTTGTAAGTCAAGGACTATCTACTCCACTTTTATGTAGTATTCTATTGTCATGTTTTCTTCTGTATTTGGCTATGGTTTAATCAACAATAAATATTTAGCCAAGCAAACACGGCAACAGGAATGAATTCTGCTCTGCTCCTTTTTTAATGCCAGTTGTGAGTTTCAGCAACTTTCTCCTCCCCCAGAGCTAGATACTCACCTGATGCTGCCTGTAGAGCAGAGGGAAGGTAAATGCACTTATCACACCTGTGGAAGAAAAGGAGGGGGTGAGTCTCTTATTCCTGCAGGACCCCGACCCCACCCCGAAAGGCACTGTCCTCCCAGACCCTCCCCTTACCAAGTATAAGCAACGTCAGACCATTGAAAACGGCTCCCACATAGGTGAGGACGTAGAACAAGAAAGCAAACTGAAAAAGATAAAAGGTAGAGCTGGCTGAGACCCCAAGAAGGAAAGACAGAGAGTCCCATCCTGCCAGGGCTCTGGAAAGTTAGGTGCCCAGCCTGTACCCACCCCGTCAGAAGGAAGCAGGGGCAAGAGTGAGACACATGACACAGTTGGCTTTTTGACATGTCCTCGCTGACTCTAGGCCCAACAAAGTCTATGTGGCAAAAGGGATGAATGTTGCCTGCATCTCTGACTATTTATTATTGCATCTTTAAGATGTGTGGACTTCAACTCCCAGAATTCCCCAGACTCACCTTGAGGGACTCCACCATGTCATCCACCAAGAAAAGGCGCTGCAGAGTCTTTGTGCCCCAGGTGACATGATGCACCACCCGCTCGGTCAGCCGCTCCAGCTGTTCTTTGGACAGCCCAAAGTCTGCATCCAGCTGGGCCCTGGCAGGCAGGCAGGAGGGGAAGGGAAGGGAAGGGAGAGAAGGAAGGAGGAAAGGAAAGGAAAGGAAAGGAAAGGAAAGGAAAGGAAAGGAAAGGAAAGGAAAGGAAAGGAAAGGACAACACTCAGCCGAACCCATACCTGGCTGTCTTGCCTTCACCTTCCAGACTGGGATCCCTGGCAGCCCCAGAGCCAGGGAACCAGCCCGTCCCCCTTGGCTGGATCTTCTGGGGCTACAACAGCAGCCCCCTTGTGGGGCAAGGCAAGGGGCCCACATTCACCCACTTCAAACTGGGGGAGCGCAACATCCCTGGTGCCAGGGAGGCTGTCCTGCTTGTGCCTCTCCAGCAAGAACCCCCAGAGATCAGTCAAGCCACAAGAGCTGAGCATGAAGACATCCCACTGGCAGACTCTTCCCTCAGGGCCCCCTGGCCATTCCCCACACCCTGCAAGCATCCGGGGCAGCCTGGCTTACTCACTGGAAGGGGTGGTGCCCGTCTCCCCGGCGGACCAGCTGCAGCACCTTGCTGTATCCCCTGAGCGAGATGGTGATGCCAAGGGCGGCCAGGGAGAGGTAGGAGGCCACGCTGATGATGCTGAAGTGTATCAGGCAGAGCAGGGCCACCATCAGCGCCGTGAACGCCAAGGCCGATTTGCGGGTGTCCCGCCAGTACACCAAGTCGGCCACTGCAGGCGAAGCAGAATAACAATAACAGAGTTGGAAGGGGCCTTGGAGGTCTTCTAGTCCAACCCTTGCTCAAGCAGGAGACCCTAGATCAGGGGTGTCCAGCCTGGGAACTTTAAGACTTGTGGACTTCAACTCCCAGAAGTTTGGTTTCAGACAAGAAGAAAAGGTAAGTCTGGACCCCAAACAATGTTTATCCTGGAAATGGGAGGGGGGGCTGAATAAGAAGCCTATGAAGGTTGTCCCACACCACTCCTCCACCCATGTTTAATGTTAAGCAAAGTATGCTCCACCATGATTAAATAGGACGCAGCTGCTGTTTCTGGTTAGATTTCCTGTCCTTTAAATATTTGCTCACTTGTGGTCCGAAGCAGGAGGCTTCCCCCGACAGATCCATCGGCCTGCTCCGGTTACCCGCTTTCCATTCCAGGATGCAGGAGGGGGCAATCTCAACCCTCAGCAGCATCTCCCCGACCCTCACTGGCACAACTACCACGTCCCCCACCAAGCTCGAAGCTCCTCTGCCGTGTTCCTAAAAAGGAGATGCCAACCACCTCTCGCCCCACAGCCTCCTGCCATGCGTGGCTGCCCTTGGCAAGCACTCTGCATGGGTTTCTTGCTGGGGCTTTCACACTGGACGCAACTACTTGCAGATGCAGTGGGGGGGGGGTGTAGGGAGATGGGGGGGGTTAAGTAGTGGAAGACGGGCGTTTGACTGGCATTTCCACTTTCCCTTCCCCGAGAGAGAAGCCGCCATTGTTCCAAAGCTGGTTCATGATTTCCTGCTCTGCAAAGATGGTATGAAGGGACCCCACCCATCGGGAGAGGAGGCAGGGAGGGCAAGACGCCCAGGGCCCTGGCAGCTGTTGCAGACTCTCTCTCCCCCTTAACTGACAGGCCCAGATGCAGTCCAGTCGCTTAAGGAATCTGTGGAGGCACGGACGGTCCTGGGGGAGGGCTGGAGGGCTGAACAGGCCCAGCGTGGCAGTTTGGGGGGTCCGGGCATCTGCACCCTACAAGACTTATGTTCTGCACCCCAATTTACAGGGTGCCCCTCTCACTTCTCTTCCCCCAAAGGCTCCCTCCCTTCAGACTGGGTCCCCCACTCAGTTAAAGTCCCCCCTCCCAAAAACAAGCTGGCCTCATGGCTCAACTAGGATCCTCCCCCCATCCTGATTCCCTTGCCTGGCAAAGCTCGCAGGGCACAATCCTAATGGGGTGGGATGGGGGGAACCCACCTGTGCTCGCCATGGCAATCCCCTTTTCTCGCAGCTCCGAGGCTCCTCGCCGCTCTGTGGAAACCTCCCCGGGCACCAGTTCTGGGCTGAAGGGTGGGGGGGCGCTGCTCAGGGGACTGGGCTGAGGAAGCGCAGGTGGGGGGGGTGCTATTTTTAGCTGACGAATCCCAGCTGCCTCGTCCCCTCCGGAGCCCCCGCCTGCCTTGCTTGGTCCTGCTGGACGGAGGCAGCTTTGCAGGCTCCAGCCTTAAAGGGAGGGGCTGCCCACCGTCAGCGGTCGGGGAGCCAGCAGCTGCGAAATAGGGCGCCGGATCCCCAGCAAAGAAGCAGGAAGGTGAGCAACAGGGGGCCAGGCATGCTGGGGGGTTGAGGGGCTCAAAATGACCGATTCTGGCTGACCCTGCACGGTAAGAGTCAGCCAGGAGAGGAAGTGGGAGCCTCCCCTTTTAAACTATTTGTACTGGCCACTAACTCAGGGCCAGGCATGCGATTGGTGCCCACATTCCGGCTGGCAAGGCTGCCTCAGTGTCTGTTTTCCAGAGCGGCTATTTCCATATACACTGAGGTGGGTGAGCATGTCTTTCTTTGTCTCCGGTGTTCTGAGTTCGGGTGCTGTTATGGATGAGCACGGCCTTGAGGATTTGAAGCTTGGAAAGCAAAAGGCCGCTCTTTTCCATATGCTAGTGAGGTGGTCTCTGTGGACTCACAATCTGAAGAGTGAGCCAGGAGGTGCTCTACCGAATTGCTTTTCAGCAGACCCCTTACCCTATTTGAGAGGCAGGGGCTTTCATTCCCATCCCTCCCCTTATTTGGGGAAGGGATAATACAAATGGTGGGGCTACATCCTTTAACTCAGGGGTCTCCGAGCTTGGCAATTTTATGATATGTGGACCGCAACTCCCAGAATTCCCCAGCCAGACATTCTGGCTGAGAAATTCTGGGAGTTGAAGTCCACAAGTCATAATGTTGCCAAGTTTGGAGACCCCGAGTTAAATGAAACAGAACTGTCTGCATGCAGCATGCCAGCCGACCCCGTGTAAGGCCACCTGTTCTCTGGCTGGAGAAATATTAGTTCCTTTAATGTGCTTGAAACAAAGCCAATAGGAAACCTTGGACTACAACTACAATCATGCCCAGTGTGGTCCCCGTTGCAATTCAGAGTAGTAGCTAAGACTGTATTAAAACCGCAGCTCTAGCAATAAAGATATGGATTTCTCAGAGAGGGTCCTTGTGTTGGGGGGGGGGGCTTTTTAGCCTAGGCCAGGCCCAGACTCCTTGAAGAGAGGCCCAGGCCCCTTGTCCTTGCTTGGGGAGGCTCAATGGCTCCAATTCTGCTTGGTTCAGCACTGTAGTTATTTATAGCCGTTGACTTGACGTGGCTGCAATCCCAATCATGGCTCCATGCCAGGGGCCGTGAATAAGGACCTTTCCTGGGAGAAGCAGCCCTACCAAGGCCACCAAAGGCAGGAGGGCAGCCCAGGCCACCCCCACCCACCCCCACCATGGCTTCAGGGGGACAACTACAGCCAGGAATCCTCAACAACAGGGAAATACAGGCAGTCCTCGATTTAAGACCACAATTGAGCCCAAATTCTCTGTTGCTAAGTGAGATAGTTGTTTTGCCCCATTTTACGACTTTTTGCCCCAGTTAAGTGAAACACTGCAGTTGTTAAGTTTGTAACATGGTTGTTAAGGGAATCTGGCTTCCCCATTGACTGTGCCTGTCAGAAGGTCGCAAAAGGGGATCACGTGACCCTGGGACATGACTCCGGGATGTCACAAACCAGTTGCCAAGCATCTAAATCTTGATCACATGACCACAGGGATGTTGCAATGGTCATAAGTGTGAAAAATGGTCACTTTTTTCAGTGCCATTGTAACTTCAAACAGTCACTAAATGAAAGGTTGTAAGTTAAGGACTACCTGCAAATGGCAGACTTCTACATAGCTCTGCCTCTGGCCCCCCTCCTTGGAGAAGGTGCCTCGGCTGTGCTCACCCACCCTGTGCAAATGACCCCAGACCCCAATCTCTGGCATGCTGTTGGTGTGGGGGGAGCAGAAGAGACGCACAACCCCTCTTCCTTGGTGTTGGGGGGTGGGGCTAGTCAAGTGAGCTGCCTTCCCCTTCCTGGCCCTGCTAGAGGAGCTCGGCCTCCCATCACCCTGGCATTGCAATCTGACATGCTTGCTAGGGAAGGGGCATCTGGGTAGGCCCCAGAACAAGGCCTGGCTGCCTATTGGGGTGCTCCCCTTGCCCCTGCCCCCAATGAATGCTGGTGCCAACATGGCTCCTGAACCTCTGAATGGCAAATTCTAAATGCCCCTTTCCTCATGCCAGCTGGCTCACCTAGGAGGTTCAGGACGTTCTCGGCCTGGTCTGGTTCAACGTGGAGCTGCTCAGGATGGGGTTCCTGGCTGGGCCCCTCTTCTTCTTCCTCAGGTGGGGGTGGTTGGCAGAACTCTGCTGAGGTCAGTGCTCGGTCTTGGGGTGTGTCAGCACCGCAGGAGGTGCCTGCTTCGGAGTGGGAGACTAAGGCAGCAGGCAGAGAGAGGGTCTCCCTGTGGTCATCTGGAGCAGAGTTTAAAATCAGGAAAACACGAAGTCAGGGCCTTTCTTTTGCTCTGGGCAAAAGAAGATCTGCAATTGTGCCCAGCTCCCCATTTGCCCTTCCCAGTCCAGCTGCCTTTCCTGGTTCCCTCCCGGCTGGCAATTTGATCTCACTCTTAGGACAGCCGCCCTGAGCACCTGAACACAACTTCGCAGGGAGCTGTTTATTTTACAAATTGAGAATTTTTTTAGCATTTCTGTGGTTCATAGGTTAGGCTCTCCTGCTCTGGACTGCTAACATCTGCAGTTTGAAGGTTGATCTCTCACTTCATCCAGCCTACTGATGTGGATTGGCTCCCTAAAGCAGTTGGTGCCTCTGTGGACAGCATGGAAAGAGCGGTGGAGCTGTCCGATGTGGCGGGTGGCCAGTCCTTCTCCTTAATTTCATCAGAATAAAGAGCAGGAAAGATTCACTGTGTCTCTTACAGGGGCTCTCTTCTCATCAGAAAAGTCAAAAAGCATTTTGCTTTTCATGTTGAAAAAATAAACACAAACAGATCAACTCTCCACATGCTGAACAATTTTTGATTGTTTTTCCCTTAAAAAAAACAAAGCAGGGCATCACCTGCCAAATATTGACCAAATATTGCCATGGATGGATATGACTCTGAATCCCACCATCATATTTTGACTGAAGAAATCCCACTCAGATTCCACCCTTTAGAAAATCCCTCCCCTCTTGGACAAATTGGAAGATGCCAGTCCCACTTTCTGTAGCTCAGGGTTGAATTGTGGGGTCCTTGGTGCTCTCTGAACTTGGTGGTTTTCTTTCAGACGTTTCATGCCCCAACTAGGGATTATCTTCAGTGCTAGAGGCAACCCCCCCACCCCTCCCTTCCAGCATTGATGAAGTTACCTAGTTGGGTCATGAAAAGTCTGCAAGAAAACCACCAAGTTCAGAGAGCACCACGGATCCTACAGACCTCCTCGTCTTCTTCCATTCCACAAACCCCCACTTCCTTCTAGCACTGATAATGTTACTTAGTTGGGTCCTGAAACGCCTATTAGGAGACAACCAACCTCAGAAAGCACCAAGGACCCACAATTCAGCCCTAAACTATAAGTCTTCTCTTCTTCTGGGCCCTCCAAATGTGGCCCTCTTCCTGCCAAACCAGGGATGGCTGGTGAGGGCAGAATTCAGCCTCCACTGCCCTTCAGATATGCCCTTTCCCTACCTGTTCCTGAGCAAGCCGTGCTGCTACCTCCTTCCGTCTCCACCGCTGGCGATGGGGACGTGGAACAGGGAGTCGCCTGTTCCTCCCCTTCGGCCGCATCCAGGTCGCTGTCACAGCCCACCTGGGAAGCCCAGTCCAATGGAAAGTCATCCAGTCCTTGGCCACTGCCCGAGAGGAGGGTCCCCTCTACCTCTGGAGATGGGCAGAGGCTGGGAATGTTCTCCAAACTGTCCCCCAGGGTGGGCACAAAAGTTTCACAAGTCTCCGTGCGGGGCAGCGGAGCCCTTGTCCGGCGGGTCTGGGAGTCACGTCTGCCCCGATGCTCTGCTGCACTGGGGCTGCTGCCGGAGGGCGTAGCAATGGTGATGTAGGAAAAAGTCAGCTCCCGGGGAGTCCCCCATTCCACAGAGCCCTCCTCCTCTTCCTCCTCCTCCGAAAACTCCCGAGCTGTCTGCAGTTCAGGGAAGTCAGACTCTTCGTTGGCTCCTGCAGAAGGAAAGAACACCTCTGGCATCTGGGAAGACAGCCCGGTCCCTTCCCTGAATCAGAGGATGCAGGGAGCACGCCTGCTGGGCCTGCAAATCCAGCCCCAGGCCCAAGAGCAGTCCGCTCAGCTGGCTCTTCCAGACCTGGGACCTGGTGTCACCTGCTCTGCATACTGGGTGACATGGCTGTAAATGCCAGGACCAGATTTGGGCAGCCACAGGCTGGCATCTTTCTCAGGTTCTTCACACCCACTTTGCAGACTCACCATCTGTAGAATCAGGTGTGGTAGAGGCAGTCGAAGGAGACTCTTCTGCAGGAAAGGAAGAGACGAAACGGAGACGGTTCTGGACAGGCAGCCAAGTATTTATTTATTTATTTTATATCCCGCCTTTATTATTTTTTATAAAGAAGGCGGCGAACGTATCTAATGCTCTTTCCTCCTCCTGCTTTCCCCACAACCGCCACCCTGGAAGGTGAGTTGGGCTGAGAGTGTCTGACCCAAGGTCACCCAGCTGCTTTCATGCCTAAGGCGGGACTAGAACTCCCAACCTTCTAGCTTGGGGCCTTCACTCAGTAGCCCAAACTGGGTCTTCTGCCAGATCAGGGCACAGCCTGGCACTCGGCCAGCCTTGGCTTCCTGAGAGGCTGGAGAAGCAGGAAGGCCGTCACTGTAATTCTGATACACCCACAGACTGTCTGGGTGATACAGAAAACAGGGTCGAAAGTCTTGCAAATACGGTTTCACAATTCAGTGCTTGATTGCTGCATGCCAGGTTGGGTCAGTTGCATCTCCTGGCTGTGCTAGCACACAACAACCACAACAACAACAACACTCGATGCACCCTGGATGGACAGACTTCCCCTTGTTCCTTCTGCTTCCATCCATGCTGGCAGAAGGAATGCCAGGGAATGGCCGGCCAACCATCAAATGCTTGGGAGCTGGCAGAGTCAAGGGTCAAGGGGTTTAGTTAGCTCTCACCAGGAATCATTCTGAAAGCAGGATTCCCTCAGAGGTCCAATTTTCCAAAGGATCTCTGGGTTACCTGTCCAACCTGAGGCCCACCACCCTCCCATGCACCTACTCTGGCCGGGAGGTTTGAGCTCTGCAGTGCAACCCTTCTGGGACACACGTTGGACAAGGTCACCTGCAGATTGGGCCACTGGCGTTTGTGGGGGTCACCTACTCCATTCTGGTTTTGTGCCTTGTGAAAAGGGATGTCAGTATGCAAAACAGGGGACTGACCTCAGGTTCCATATGGTCTCTTGAAGGAGGAAGAGGTCCAAATACATAAATGGCTCAAAAGAGGACCAACCTATCCAGGGCCCCAGTGGCTCCGAGGGCCCCACACTGCCCACAGGGCAGAACGCCAGGCAGAAGAGATCCAGCAGTGGCGTTGGGGGGGGGGACCCATACCACAATAGCCTCCCACAAAACAGGCAATGTTGTCCCAAGTGCAAGTCCGCTGCATCCTTTCCTAAAGGCTTGCACCTCGACCTTACCATCTTCCCTGCAGACTGACTGGGGGGGGGCAGTCTTCCTGCCACCCCTTGGCCCCTGCTGCTCATCCAGCGCCCCATTCAGCCATTTTTCTTCCAGCCACTCAATGGGGCGAGACATAAGGGGGAGGCCAAGGATGCTCCCTTCCCTATTAGGCCTCTCCCAAAACACGAGCCAGGCTCTGCCGCCCCCCACAAAGGGCCCCGTAACCTCCTCCCCCCCCCGCCCGCGCGCAGATTGCAGCCTGCCCGAGAACTCCGCAGCGCTCCAGCCGCCTCGCTCTGCACGCCGGGCGGAAAACAGCCGCCGGTCCCCACCCAGAGCCTGGCAGCTGCGCCGGACGGCATCGCAGCACCCACAGCCCAGGGGAGGCGAAGTAGGGGCTGCAGGGCGATGCACGGGGGCGCCGGGTTGCAAAGGGAAGAGCGGGCCCAGCGCGGCCACCCTGGAAGCCTCCGGCGGCTCGGCCCGAGGACGAAGAAGGGTCGCTGGGCGGGGGGCGCTCGGCGGGGCCTACCCGGGGGGCTTCGGGTTGTATCCCACCGGAGGGGGGGGCGGTTCCGCGATGGGCGGCGGGGAGGGGGGACCCAGCCCTTTGCCCCCGCTGGGCCCGGCGCGGGCAACACCTACTGCAGTGGGCGAATCCCAGGACCTGCCCCATCGCCCCGGCAGCCGGCCGACCCGAGGTCCATGCGGAACGCCGCGGCGGTGAGCTCCGACCGCGCCGCCGCCCCCCGCCGCCGCCCCCCGCTCATCTCCCCGGCAGCCCCATCCCGCCCGGGGCGCCAGCGGGACGGTCCCCGCGTGCCGGGCGGCGAGGGTCCCGCGAGGCCGGCCGCAGGGAGGGCGAGGCGGCGGCGGGGACAAAGGAGAGGCGGCGCGGCGGGGATGCGGGCGAGGCTGCGGGGATGGAGCGCGGAGGCGGCGCGGGAGAGCGCTTGGGGCCGCGAAGGGAACCGCCGGGCAGCACCTTGGACGGGTCTCGCCTCTCCCTCCCTCCCTCCCTCCCCGGGAAGAGCAGCACCCCGCCCGCCTGCCACTCAGCGCGCGGGCCCGCCCCCTTCGCTGCGTCTCCCGCGCGCGCGCGCGTGTGCGCGTCCCCTCGCCGAGGGGAGTCTCTCCGCCCTTCCTCCGCGGGCTCTTCGCATCCTCCGACGGGCCGCTCCCTCCTGTGCACCTGCTCGGGGCCATCGCAGCCGGACTCGCCCCGCCCGTCCGGCCCTGCTTTGTCGCCCGGGGGCCCGGCGCTCTCCACGGGCTCCGAGGATTGTGCGCCGCGTGGGCGTCCCGAGGGCCGAGAATGCGGGGGGAGGGGGGGGTCTCGCAGCTGCCGCCTTGTCTCTGCCGACCGCGCGAGAGAAAACAACGGGCAGGAGTTGGGGGCGCTCCTGCCTTTCCCCGCGGGACGGGAGCTCTCGGGGACGGGCAGCAGAGGCCGGAATGCTGGCGGCGCGCGTGGAAACCCGGCCTCCGTCTGAATCGCTCAGTTTTCCTGGGAGACATCGGGCGAGAAAGGCCATCCCGGGAGGCGCAGTTGGCCGGGAAAAGAGTGCAGGACGCCGAAGGACTCGGGGCCGAGGGGAGGCTGGGTTGGTTGGGGGCTGCAAAGGCAGCCCGGAGCAGGAATGGGCCCCCTCCCCCCTCCCCCTGCTGCCTCTTTGCCTTCAGAGAAACGCCTCAAATTCAGGGCTAGCCGCAAGCGGGGCTTTGCTGGCCAGAGCAAGATTTTTAAGCTGGGCTGGGGGTTCCCCCGAGGACCCTCCAAAGGGGGCAGTCGGGATGAACAGAGAAAACCCCATTCAGTGGGAACAAGTTTAACAGGAGCCCATTCAGACAGCATAGGCTAAGCGGCCCTGACCTGCTATTTAACTAGCTGGCTCTCTGGGCCACAGCAACCCGCCGAGGGCTGTGTTGGTGTGACAAACCCCTCGTGGAATGTCTGCAGCTGAGTGCTTTTTTGCCAGAAAAATGGGGGGAACCCCCTCCACACCATGTTTGTTTGTCCAGCATGAGTTGTGTGTTGTCTGCCGCTCATCTGTCCTGTTTGCGGGAAGGGAGAAGCCATGATGTCAGTTTTGCAGAGTCATCCTGGATTACCTGCAACTTCCCTTTGATTTTGGTGTATTATATTTGTATTATTTCAGGGCCGAGAAACAGCAAGCTGTCCCATTCCTGCATTGATTTAGTGGTAGGAAAAATCTAGAAAAAATCTATATAGAACGAAGTTTATCTACGTAACAAAAAAAAAGGCAAAAGAAGAAAGTCTTTTAAGTAAGTATCTCTTACTTAAATGGCTTATCATTGCAGCATTTGTCCAATCATGATTTATTTCTTACACCGAGGGAAACTTTCAAGATACAACAGTAATTGAAAAGGCTTCAGCAGATCCAGAATCAATAACCTTTGGAGGACACAAGGTGTGCACTTCTTCATACCAACTGCAAAGTGCAGCTTCCACAAATGAGGCTTTGAAGAGGGAAGTCCCTGCTCAGAGGGAGGAACTCACCAGTCAAACATGTGACCCAGAAACAACAGAGCAACAGGCCAGGAAGGACGCAAAGAGGCAACTTGCATTGACTTCACTGCCAGAAAGGGTCAAAGGCTGAATCGCAGCAGATTGAAGGAGGAGGGCTGAATTGTTAGCATGAAGGCAAAGGTGGTTGGATGGGAGGGATTGGAGGCACAAAAATTAGGCTGTTTGTTTGAGCTCTGAGCTTGGCAATTTGGTTGCAAATGTTTTGTCACCATCCAAGGAGACATTATCAATGTGCTTTGAAGTGTGCTTGTCTGTCTGAATTGTGCTTGTCTGAATTGTCGACAGACGAGTACAATTCAAAATGCACTGACGATGCAACCAAATTGCCAAGCTCGGAGCTCAAACCAACAGCCTAACTACCAACCTGAGCTACTGATATTCAAACACATTTCAACCACTCAAAAGGCTTTGGGCACGAACTACGTACAGGGAGTCCTCAATTTACAACCATTCGTTTCATGACCAAAGTTAACAGCAACAGTGAAAAAAAGCAGTTCACATTGATTACCATTGCAGCGTCCCCATGGTCACACGATCAGATGTTGGGCACTTGACAACCAGCAGGTATATATGATGGTTGCAGGGCCCCCAATTCATGTGGTTCCCATTTGCAACCTTCCCAGCTTCTAACAAGCAAACAGGTTTTTTCATTGGGGAAACTAGATTCACTTAACAACTGCATTATATCTAAGGGGCTGCCAGAAAGAAGGGGGAGGGGTCATCTTATTCTACAACACTTGAAGGCAAGACAAGATACAATGGATTGAAACCAATAGAAACTAAGACAACCAGTGGAACAGCTTGCCACCAGAAGTTGTGAATGCTCCATCACTGGAGGCTTTCAACAAGAGTCTGGACAGCCCCCTGTCTGAAATGGTATAGGTATAGAGTCTCCTGCTTGATCAGGGGGTTAGAAGACCTCCAAGGTCCCTTCCAATGCTGTTATTCTGTTATTTCTATTAACTGCACTGATTCACTGAACAACCGTAGCATAAAAGGCCGTATAATGCTCCCGCCCTCCTGGCTTTCGGCAACAGTCTAGACCTGACTCTGTCAGTTGGTTTGGGGCCCCAACGGGATTATCACGCTGGAGGTACTTCAGTCAGAAGAGAACTGGAAGGGACCTTGGAGGTCTTCTTGTCCACCCCACCCCGCTCAAACAGGAGGCCCTATGCCAGCGCAGACAAATGGCTGTCCAATCTCTTGAAAACCTCCAGCGATGGACCACCCACAACCTCTGATGGCAGGCTGTGCCACTGATTGATGGTTCTCCCTGTCAGGCCATTTCTCCTTAGTTCTAAATTGGTTTTCCCCTTGGTGAGTTTCCATCCATTGTTTCTTGTCCTGCCTTCAGGTGCTTTGGAGGATAGGTTGACCAATAGAAAATCCCCCCTCCCCATGCACATCCTCTCCCCTCCTCTTTAATTAGAATTATATTGTTATTGTTAATATTTCCTATGGTTTTACTGTTTTGAATTTTGCAAGCCACCCAGACTCACCTGTTGTGAAATGGGAGGGCCAAATAAATTTAATAAATAAATAAGTAACTGGGTGCATCTTGCTTAACAGCTGTCTTGCTTAGCACTGCAAATTCTGGTCCCAGTTACGGTCATAAGTCAAGGAAGGACTGCCTGCAGTCTGCATGTTTTCACAGGCCTCCCATAGCCTGGGGGGCTGGCTGGTTTTCGTCTGCCCTTGGGGTCCACTCCAGAAAGTGGGCAGAAGCGGCTGCTGGATCTGAGGCTCCTTTGCTCTCCAAATATTGTCAAAGGGCTGCTAATGGCTCCTCAAGGCCTGGCCATCCCCACCCCCCCTCCCCCCATGCAAGAGGTTGGGGTGGGAAGAGGCTTCAGCTGCACCTTCCTATCAGGCCACGGAGGTGGAGACTCCAGAAACAGCCCCTGCCCTGCAGGCTCCTCTTCCCGTCCCCCCCAGACCTTTGCAGGTGGAGGAGCTCCAGGTGGAAGGCGAGGTAAGAAACGGCAGGGGCTGCAGGGGGGGAAATAGTGCAATTTAGGCAGAAATCCTGGCCATTTTCTTTTGCATTATTTCTATCCCGGGAAGGGAGATGGGGGAGGCTGAGAGGGAGCAAAAGAGCTTGAAAACCTTTCAGTGACCACTTGTGGCCTGGCTATTCTCAGAATCGATGTGGCTGTTGTGGCTGGCATTGCTTGTCGTGGCACAACAGTTCTTCCCTGGAGAGGTGATAATCACCTTTTCCGGTGACTTTTGCTACTCTCCTGATGCATGAGCTGCTTAGAGGGGGCGCTGGGATTCATTCAAATATTCTAGAACTAATTAACAGAATAACAGAGTTGGAAGGGACCTTGGAGGTCCTCTAGTCCATCCCCCTGTTCAAGCAAGAGACCTTGCAACATTGCAGACAAAAAACTGTCTAGTCTCTTCTTAAAATCCTCCAGGGCTGGAGCACCCACAAGTTCTGGAGGGAAGCCATTCCACTGAGGCATTGTTCTCACTGTCAGGAGGCTGCTTCTCTCCTTCACAGGTTCCCACCTGTTGCTTCTTGTCCTGCCTTCAGGTTCTCTGGGAAATAGATGGACCCCCTTTTCTTTGTGACAGCCCCCCAAATATGGAAGACTGCACCCCTGGTCCTCTAAATCATTCCCTTATAAGGAAAACAGCTTCTCAGTGGTTGATTTCAGCAATAAGCGGCTAGTCCACAAGTATTTTACCCATTGGCCCACAGAGTTTAGGATTTCTTTGCTCAAAAGAGGGAGAAGCCCTCTGAAAAGGTATCGCCCAACAAGGGGGCAGAAGGCATTTTACACTCGCAGCCTTCTCCGGTTCAGCAGCTGGAGGAGAGAAAAAAGGTGGGTTTTTTCCCTAAAAAGTGTGTCTTAAAATCACAAGGCTGCACAGCCTCATTTATACATTTATTTATATATCAATCTTCTTATTTATATATCAAATGGCTGTTGCTGCTGGGGTGTGGATTTCCTTTGAGGATGGGCAACTGAGCAGAGACCGGGGCCGAGCCTGGGCTGACCATAGAAGGGATGCCCCACAGCCTTTGCAAATGGCCCTTGGCACAGGCACGGCCTCAAGATGCTGGCCACTGTCACAGTCGCAAGCAAACAAGTCCGCACCAGAATGTGGGGCTTCCCGCAGGGATGAACTCTGGAACCTCCTTATCTCCAAGCCGCCACTCTTGTGCAAGGTTGCCCGGCTCTCCTCCTGCCTTCAGAAATACCTGAGCAATGTGTCACTTTCCTGCGGTCTTTTGACCTGGGAGCTGGAGGAGGGGGTGGTGGTCTCCCCAAAACAGCTGATGATGGGGGGGGCTGGCTCCCTGCTTGCACCACCAGGCAGCACACAAGCATTGCTGCCGGCTGAAAACGGGTCCAGAGCTAGCCTTGGGAACCACATTCTGACAGCCAGGCTGTCTCCAGTCTCTGCTTAAAAGCCCTCCCCACACAGAGCCAGAGCCAGCCGTGTGCGGCAGCAGCCAAAAAAACTAATACAATCCTGGGTCATATAAACAAGAGAATCAAAATGACGTGATGCGTTAGTACTGCTTTATAAAGCCTTACTAAGGCCACACCTGGAACACGGCATCCAGTTTTGGTCACCACGTTACAAAGATGTTGAGACTTTGGAAAAAGTGCAGAGAAGAGCCCACAAAGATGATTAAAGGCCTGGAGACAAAAACATATGAAGAACGATTGTAGGAGTTGGGTTTGGCCAGTCTAGAGAAAAGAAGGACTAGGGGTGACATGAGAGCAGGATTCCAAAGTTTGAGGGGCTGCCCCAAAGAAGAGGGGGTCATCTTATTCTCCAAAGCACCCGAAGGCAACAAGAAACAATGGTTGGAAACTAATCAAGGAGAGAAGCAACCTGGAATCGAAGAGGAATTTCCTGACAGAACAATTAACCAGTGTATGATTTGTTTCTGAGCTTCGCCCTCCTGCTGCTTCTTCCTTCTGTCTCCCACCCTCAACAGCTTCGTGCCCGAAGGAGTGAAGAAGGATGGGCAAACTGGAAGACAGTGCCACCCTCGTGCCCAATGAGCACCTGCCCTTGCTGGCCAAAGCGGCCCCCAGCGCCACCTATCTGAGCCAGCAGGAAGTGGCTGAGCAGGGCAGCGCTGCCCCCTGGCCCGGACTCCGCAAAGCCCTGATCAGCCTGCTGGGCGGCCTCTTTGCTTGCATGCTGCTTCTGGCCGTGGCTCTGCTCCTCTCCCTGCCCCGGCCTCACCCACCCCTGGGCTGGTGGCAAAAGGCTGCCTTCTACCACCTGCCCCCCTCCTCCTTCCCGGACTCCGATGGCGATGGGTGGGGAGACCTGGCAGGTAAGGACAGGAAGGTGTGAGTGCTGGGCAAATTGGTTCCAGGCTGTTGGTGCCCCCTCAATGCCCCCTTCCCTCCATGCAGGCGTCAGGCAGCAGCTGGACCAGCTGGCAACCCTGCCCATCCAGGCCTTGGTGTTGGGCCCTATCCTTGAAGGCAGAGGGGCCAACCTGACCCAGATCATCCCTGCCCACGGATCGCTGGCACAGCTGCAAGCTCTGGTGACTGATGGGCGCAAGAGAGGTACTGGACAGAACTGCCAGGTGGGGCCAGACCCCCGGCTGCTTTGCTTCCGTTCTCCCCAGATCTGAGGTGCTTTGAGGGGCCGGTCAATTGCTGTGGTGAGCCCGGTGCCCTGAAAGAGGGGCTGGGCTGGTCAATAGCCAGAAGGGACTGTTGGGACCCTTGCTTGGTGGCCTGGCAAGCTTGGGTGGTAAAAAAATGGAGAGTCCTGGAGAGACAGCATCTCTGGACAAATAAGACCCAGGCCAGACGCCGGATAATGTCTGGGGATGAAGAACCCAGGGGGAGTTTTTCTTCTCTAGAGATTCCCACAGCCAGATCAAGCCAAAGTCCATTTAACTGGTGCTGCCTGGGGGATTCTGGGAGTTGAAGTCCACAGGAAGTTGTCCGGTGGTTGCTCTGCTTCCCCAAAGGGCTGGCAAGGTTCCTCAGGGAAACCCCCACACCCCCCCAGCAATGACAAGAAAATGTCCTTTCCATTCTCCTATCCTTCTAATCTGTTGAGGTAGACTGCCTCTGACCTTGGAGGCTCCATTCAGTTGTTTTCTATATCCATGGAGTTCCATTTATATGGCTACCCAACTCAACATGCTGACTTTGGGCAGTGAACAGAGGTTAAAAACAAAAGAAGAACGACAGTCCAATTTTTGGCTAAAAAGCTGTGAATAAACCTATCCTTTACTTTGCCCAATATTTATTATTATTATTATTTATTAGTCCAATTTATATGCCACCCTTCTCCATAGACTCAGGGCGGCTTACAATGCATTATAGCAATAGCCTGCATACTTTTTTGTATATACCTGCTTATTAGGGCTTTCGCCCCCCCCAAGCGGTGTTGTTCTATACAAAGTTGGCTTATTGCCCCCACAATCCGGGTCCTCAATTTACCTACCTCAAAAGGATGGAAGGCTGAGTGAACCTTGAGCCTGGTGAGATTCGAACTTGCACTAATTGTAGGCAGCTGGCAGCTACGCTGCACCACCGAGGGTCTAATATAGTTTTACAATAGGTGATACAACTATTAACAAAATAACAAAATTGGAAGGGACCTTGGAGATCTTCTAGTCCAACCCCTTGCAAATGGTTGTCCAGTCGTTTCTTGAAAGCCTCCAGTGATGGAGCAACCAAAACTTCTGGAGGGAAGCCGTTCAACTGGCTAATATTTCTGTCAGGAAATTCCTCCTTAGTTCCAGGTTGCTTCTCCCCTTGATTAGTTTCCATCCGTTGCTTCTTGTCCTGCCTTCAGGGGCTTTGGAGAAGAGGTCCCTCTTCTTTGGGGCAGCCCCTCAAATATTGGATGATTCTATCATGTCTCCCCAGTCCTTCTTTTCACTAGACTGGACATACCCAACTCCTGCAATCATTCTTCATATGTTTTAGCCTCCAGTCGGCTCATCCTAGGATTGCATTGGTTTTTTTGGCTGCTGCCACACCCTGCTGGCTCATATTAGCTCACCTTGAAGCAGCGATGGCCTCCAAAAATTAACCTTGGGTCAATGGCTGTTGTTTTTTTGCCACCTGTGTTTCTCCCTTCCTGACCTCCCAGGAATCCGAATCCTGCTTGAACTTCCACCTTGGGGAGAAGAGGGCGGCACATCAGCTGAGAGCAATCACACAGTGCAGCTCCTCAAGGTATCACCAGCATTTGCAGTTTATGATTTGGGCTCATAAGCCCAGGGTTCAGAGGTGGGCCAGCAGTTGGGGGGGGTACCCTCCATCCTCCATGCGTGTCAATCCTGGCTTGGAATCAGACTGAAGAGCAAGGCGCCCTGACCGCAGAGGGGCAAAGCCATCACCTTGGCTGGCATTTTTCCAAGCTTCAAGTTGTTCTGTTCTCTGCTGAGGAACACAACTCTTGCCCAGACGTCAGTCCTACTCTATTCAGGGGCTTCCAGGCTGGGCTTCTGCCTCCATTCCCTTCTTTTTTCGGCTGTATCCTGCAGGAGGCCCTACAGTTTTGGCAGTCCAAAGGCCTGCACGGTTTTTTGGTGGACAAAGACCCTGCCTGGTGCCTCCTCATGGTGAGTTTCACTCCTGGAAATCAGCCAATTATTTGCAGTAACAACCTGAGTGGGAGGGGAATGGAACAGCACCCTATGATCACCCTAAATCATACTGCGGCTTGCTTTGCTTGGCATAACATCCTCTAGGAATGTTACCCACATCCTCCCCGTGGCTTGTAACCCCTGATTTAGGGTTAATGTGATGCCAACCTACTGTGGCTTATTCAATGAACACTGAACAAAAACAGGTGTAGCACGGTGTATAAACTTAACCTGCTGTATATATATGTATATATATATATATATATATATTTGTATCACATATGTATGTGTTTGTTGCAATGCATAAACCTTCCTGGAATACAGATGTCATCTATGCGGCAATCCAACTTCTGCACACCACAGGCACCATGGCTTCATTTCGATGCCTCCTTTTCTCTCTCTGCTGCATTTGGGCGCTTCTGAATGCCCTTTTATAGTACATAACACTTTATGGGGTCCAAGAGACATCAACTCGCTTGTTTTTATGCTGCTCTCGACTGTTTTTTCTTTCTTCCTGCTGTTTATCAGTAAAGGAGAAAAAACATGGAATTGGCTGTACAGGTGTCTCTTGGGAATTCCTGGCTAGAAGTATTCCTTCTTGCAGTGACAGCAAGCAAAACATAAACTTTTGTTTTTCAAACGGTTTACATTTCATTTTATTGCCAAGACGGTTGGAAAAAGAAAAGCTGTTTCCAGGTAGGCAGTGTGTATGGTGTGAGGACCTCATGCCTTTTGCTGGCTTTCTGTGCTGCAGGGAGATGGCATTGCCCTTGCTGCATGCATGAACAGACAGATAGAAAGGCAGACATGCACGCGCACACAGAGACACCCATGGCATCCCTCCAGATCTGGCCCCTTTGATGTGGGGCTAGGGAGAGTAGGGGTAAACCTTCCCAAGAAAACTCCATTGGATTAATGCAGAATCTGCATTCGCTCAGGCTTCCTTACCCACAACTGATCCTGACAAGTAAGGAAACAGCTTCGGTTTTGTCTGTCAAAACTATAGATCGGAAAGACTTAAGAAGCCGTACTGCTAAAATGGCAGCCTGGAAGCTTTCCTTATGTTTTAATTACTATACTGTATCATTAAAGTACTCTGCAGTACTTTCATGTCAGCGGTTTTTAAAAAAATGTTTTAATACTTAGCTGAGAGCGCACTTTAAGCGGAATGATGTATCATTGTTTAATGGAGTTATAAAATGCAAATTGCTGCATATGTTAAGGGTGGAAATGGGACGAGTTCGCTGTCTGATGTTTTGCTGCTCTGATTAAAATCTGGAAGACTTTCTGCGGCCCCAAAGACAATGGACCTACAAACAAAAGCCATGTTAACACGCAGGAGGCCACTTAAGAGGGGAAGCCCAAAATCCCCAGCCCAGGATTCCTTAGTTATTCTACCTTAAGCAGCCCGGGATTCAGGAACGACGGATGTTTGTGAACTGTGATTGCAGGTATTGAAGGCCTGGGGCGCCCTTGATGACCGGAGGCAAAACGATCCACGGGATGAATGGTGAGCTGGCAGCATTTCCCGTATTTTGCAATTCCCCCTTCATTCCAGCAGGGTGTGTGCCCCTGGTGGTGGCTCTGGGGAGTGCAGGCATGGGGTGCCAGGACAGATTCAAGATGTTGCTTCTCCCTTGCAGGGCCCTCATCGTATGGGACCGGACTGAGACCTGTGGAGCTTCTGAGGGGATGCCCAGCAGGGTCATCCTCACCTGCCACCTGCCGGGAACCCAGAGAAATCTCTCTGCTCAGGCACTGCTGCAACTGGCACAGGGATCCCTGCAGCTCCCTGGCACGCCGTGGCCCAGCTGGGCAGTAAGGAAGGGATTTCTGGGCACACCTTGAGGTTCTTGCCAGTTTTACCCCAAGCACACCAAAACACTGGAAGCCAAAGCTGTTTATAGGACCGTGGGTGGAATCCAGTTTTTGTCACCCATGTGGTGCCCTGGCTGGGAAACCAGAATAATCCCGGTGGGAATCGGCTATGTCAGCAAGAGCTTGAGACAGACCTGGGCAGCTGGAAAGAGGCGAGGGGGGCGAAGGGCATCCAGAGGAGGGGGATCCAAAGGCAAAGAAACACTCCTTTTGTGCTTTCTTCCAGGTACCCAGGGGACTCTCGCCTGTTGGTGGCTGGGGGGAAATCCTTGGGGTGCTGCTCTTCACTCTTCCAGGAGTGCCCCTGGTGCAAGGGGGGCCAAGGTCACCGCTCCCGCTGGAGTTCGAGCTGATGGTGAGAAAATCCACCACCACCACAAGGCCTGGCCCACCCTCAGCCTTTGCAACTCTGCCAAATAAGAATGTCTCCCTAGTGTCTCCTTAGAGGGGGAAGTCGGCCTTTACCCCTCCAAAAACAGAGTTGGGAGGCACCTTGGAAGTTTTCTAGTCCAGGGGTCTCCAACCTTGGCAACTTTGCTCTTCTAGTTTCACCTTAATCTAACCACCTAAAAAGGCCCAGAGTCGGATGAAAACTAACCTGTCCTTCACTCGTGCGTTTGCATGAATCTATTTATTTTATTAGTCATATTTCTATGCCGCCCACTCTCTGAGGACTCTGGGCAGCTTACACCAAGGACAGCATACTAAATAGCATATTGCCCCCTAACAGTCTGGGTCCTCATTTTACCCACCTCGGAAGGATGGAAGGCTGAGTCAACCTTGAGCCGGTGAGATTTGATCCGCTGATCTGCTGAACTAGCAGTCAGCTGAAGTAGCTGCAGTACTGCACCCTAACCACTGCGCCACCTCGGCTCTATCCAAGTAGGGTTTTAAACCCTAGTTAAGCAACTTGTATATGGGATATCTTTTTCCTGAAAGAGAAAATTATATTACTCAACTTCAGGAGAACTTGCCACTTATTACCAGTTTTAAAAGTTTCTTTTTAATGTGAAGTATTTTACGTCAGGAATATTTTTCTAATTGGCTCAGGGTTTTGATTAACCAGAGTGGAATTCAAAGTGTCACACGTGGCCATGCAGTGGACACACAAACCTCCCACATAGGTAGATGATGAGGCAGGCCAGGATAGCATTTTGCAGACCATGACCTCACTGGGCATCTGATGTCACACCATCTCCCCACGGCCATTGCACCCGGGGAAGCCCATGGGCACGGATCCAGGCTCCAGAGAGTACAGATCAGCCGTTCAGGCTGGGGGCCAAGGACAGGCCTACTCAGTGGCACCCCGGAGGAAGAATGGGGCTTTATTCCCGTCAAAGGGCACGTGGCTGGCGGGCGTTGGGGACATCCTCAGCACAAATTGCGTAAACCATTTCTAGGGAGGGGGAAACTCCGGCTGGAGAGCCACAGGCTGCCGCCTCCAGCGTCTATGAGAGAAGAGTTTTGTTTTGTGTGAAGGGGCCACCCAGCTGTCCTGTGAATAGCAATAGCAGGTAGACTTATATACTGCTTCAGAGTGCTTTCCAGCAGGTGTTCCCAACCTCTGGGCCACGGACCGATACCGATCATGGCCTGTTGGGAACCAGGCCGCATTAGCAGCGGATGGGCGTGCCTGGGATCTAGGTTGCATGTGAACCCCCACCCGCCCGGGTGCGTGGAAAACTTGCCTTCCACAGAACTCGTGCCTGGTGCCACATTGATTGGGGACTGCTGCTTTACAGCCGTCTCTAAGCGGTTTACAGAGTCAGCATATTTCCCCCAACAATCGGGGTCCTCATTTTACCGATCTTGGAAAAAGCCAGTCAAAATCGAACTCCTGGCTGTGGGCACAGTTAGCCTGCAATATTGCATTCTAAGTACCGAGCCAACATGGAATAGTGACGAAAGGGAGGCTGTGGTTCCAGATTCACTCCCCATGTGCTTTCTGGGACACAGAAAACCCATCTCAGTTGCCATGGTCTCTCTCTTTCCCCCCTTCCCCCTCCTCCTCCTAACAGGAAGGAAAGCCCAGCAGACCCCCGCTGGCAGCCCTGTACCGGTCCCTCCTGGAATTGCACGCAAAGTCCTTCTCCTTACAGGACACCGACTTCACCCCACTGCCACTCCCCAGTCATGCCGACGACCTTGTGGCTTTCCTCCGGCCGGGCGCCTGCTCTAGCCTCCTGGTAATCCTCAACCTGGGGCCGCAGCCCGCCCAGCTCAGCCTGAAGGAGCTCAGCTTCCCCGGGCAGGCCAAGGTGGTGCTCAGCACCCACGTCAAGCCCCAGAAAGAAGCCAGCGTGGAGATGGTGAGGCTGGTGCCGCAGCAGGCCCTCCTGCTCCAGGTGCCCCGAGGATACCAGCCGTGATGGGCAGCCACGAAATTCAGCCAACTGGCAGCCCAAGGATAAGAAAGGAACAGTTGCTGACCCCAAACGCAGCCTGTTGTGGGGTTTGGGCCAATGCGTGGGATGCTCCTGCCTGACTGGCTGCTGTACTTACCTTCTGCAAATTAGTAAAGTTGCTCAACCTCATTGATTTCGAGGGATCTATTGGTTCCAGGGAGGATGTGCTGCTCTTCACTTTGCAACAATGTGTGTTCGGACCCCACAAATGTGGGTACAGATGTGTGTTCTGTAAGTCCGTGGGAATCAACGGTGCACGAGGACTGGGGGTCTGGGCTGGCACAAATGGCCACCGAGCGCTTACTGCTCTGGCATGGCAACCGCCCTGGGCAGGCTTGGCTTCCCTCCCACAATCCAAACAGAGGACCTGAGGAGGTGGATGCCACCCCTGGCCTTGGGCACAGCTGGCCTCTTGCGCCCCTGCAGCAGCTGAGGAGAAGCAGGAGAAAAGGATCTTCTAAGCATACAGATGAAAATTATTCAGCCCCCCTCCCCCCCTTTAAGAGGGCCTTCTCCTGCCTCCCCCCCTCAAAATGTGCTGCACTTGCACAGGCAGAAACCCTGAGTGGAGAGGGCAGGGCAGGGGCCCAACTGGTGGGACGCCACCCCCTTGGGGGGACCAGCTGCGGCGCCAGCACAAGCAGGGGGGATGGGAAGGGGAGGGGACCACCAGGCTCCCCAGCCTCCCCACCCCAGGACCAAGCAGCTGCTGCCTGGCCAACCCCGAAAGCTGTGGGGGGGGTCCGGATTCCCTCTTTCATCCCGGGCTCACCCCCCGCAGCTCAGGAGGGCGAAAGTCGCGGCGCCGTTGCGGGCGGGGAGGCCGGGCTGCCTTTGCTCTCGGCCACGGCGGCTCCAGTCGCGTCTCCCCGCGGAAGCGCCAGCCTGCCCAAGGAGCCCGTCCTGCCTCGCAAGGGCGTTTTGCGAATTCGGAGGCGGCTCTGCGCGACTCGGAGCCGGCGGCCGCCCGACGCCCCTTTGGGGGAGACCCCCCCTTTCCACCCACCGCGGCGGCCCTCGCGGTGCCCTTTTAAGCGCGCCGGCCTCGCCCCCTTTAAGAGGCGCCGCAGCGGTGCCTGCTGGAAAGCGGCGGGCGGGCGGGCGGGGGGGGGCAGTGCACGGGCACCGCCGCCGGATCAAAGCGGGCGCGCGCCTGCTTGCCGTCCCAGCCGGGCCTGGCTGTGCGCGGCGCGGGATCGGGGCCATGAGCCCCCGGGGGCGCCGGGCCCGGGGAGCAGCCGCCGCCGTCGCCGCGGCGGGCGAAGGGGCGGAAGGAAGCGGCCGGCGGGCGCGGTCGGAGGGCTTCCAGGCGGGGGCTGCTGCTGCTGCCGCCGCTTGAGCGTAGCCCGCGGCGACGGAGCGCGGAGGCCGCCCGGGCGAGGTGGGGGAGCAGCCCGGGCCGGCCCCACCCACGTCCCCACCCAGCCAGGTCTGGGAAGCGGAAGCGGCGGCGGCGGCGGGAGAGCAGCAGCAGAGGCAGCAGAGGCAGCAGCAGCAGCTGCCGAGGCTGCAGCGCCGCGCACAAAGCAGCAGACATGAGGTCAGTACCTGCCGGGCGGCCGCCTTTGTTGTCTGGGCCCGCGCCCGGCCCGGCCCGGCCCGCTACCCGCGCTGCCTGGCAGGCAGGCGGGAGGGCGGGCGCGGCGGGGCTCCCGGCTCGTCTCCGCCCCGAAGGAGCCGCAACTTTGGGGCTGCGGCGGGGCCGTCGGGCCGTGCCTGCTGGGGCGGGGGTGGGTCGGCCGGCGGGGCAGAGGAAGGTGGCCTCTCCCGCCTGGCGGGCAACTCCGACGTGGCTTCGGCGGCTGAAGTTGGCGAAGGGCTGCCGGGGGGACCCCCCGAGTCCCGGGAATGGGGCGACTTCCCCGCGTGGAGAAGGGGCTTCGCCGGGCGGAGCGGGGCGCCCACCCCCGGAAAAGATCCCGCCCGCTTTCCGGAGTGGAGTGAGGGCTCCGCACGCCCCTTCCTCCGGAAGCGCCAAGTCGGGTAGCCCCTTCCCGCAGAGGCGAGGGGGAAGCGAGGGCCTCCCCCCGCCAGAGGGCCCTGGGAGCCCCGCATGACCGGCAGAATGGCGCCCCCCCGGCTGATGGGGTCCTTCGCAGGCCTTCCCTTTAGCTTCGCTTCTCCTCTCCCGCCGACTTGCGCGGGGGCTCCCCTGAGTCTTTATTGGGCGTGGGGAGCATCGCCGCCGCCACCTGGCCGGGCACCTCGGGAGGAAGGGGGGGCAGCGGGGGGAGGGGGCGGGGGCTGGAGTGGGGACCGACGGGGGGTCTTGCGAAGGGGGGCGCGGGAGATGCCAGGCTTAGGCGGGCCAGCCCCATCCCCATTTGGGGCCCCGCCCAGCCCCCCGCCCGAAGCTGCCGGTGCTGGGCTCCACCTGCCCGCCTCGGCGGCTCCCTCACCTGCTCCTCTGCCACTGGGGCCGCTTGCTCAGCTGTGCCTGAGCGGAGGGGACGGGAGCGTGGGCGGAGGGCTTTTGTGGCAAGCGCCGCCGGGCAGCCCCTGGCCGAAGCGGGAAGGCCCTGCCCGCCCTTGGCGAGCGGAGACCCAGGCAGCAGGCCCGGCGCCCCTCCGCCTCGGGCGCTGCTTCCTGCCTGCCGCCTTAGTCATCGCGGGCCGCCCCGGAGGCCCCCCCAGCCCTTCTGCGGGGCGCTCCGAGGCTGCAGCCCCCGGGGAGAGGGCTCTCCGGAAGGCGGATCAGCTCGCAGCCGTCGGAAGTTCCGCCGGAATGGCCGGCCAGGTGGGCCTCGGAGGCGGGGAGGGCGCCCGGACTCCCCTGGCCGGAAGAGCCGCGACCAGAAGGCCGGCGGGGCGGCCGGGGGCTTCTGCGGTTCGGCCTAGCCTCCCCGACCCGGGTCGCCAGGTTTGGCCTGTCCGCTGCACGGAGCCCCGTTCAGGGTAGAGCCGGCCTTTGGTAAGCAGCAGCCGGGAGGGTTGGGAGAGTTGGGAGGATGCCCTGAGCTGCTTGTGGATTAGGGGAAGGGGCTCTGGTAGGGAGAGGATGGGGCTTGGCTGCTCCCTACCAGCGGGGCAGTGTGTCCGGGGCACATCTTTTCTTTTCAAGGGAACCCCACACCCCTATCAATTGGATCTCCAGCAGCTTTGGATTCCAGTTCCCATTATCCCCAGTAAGAAAGCCCAAAGGCATTCTTGTAGCCCGGGAATTAGGAAATTCAAGGGCCACTTGGAGAGTCCAGGTTTGGGAAAGCTTTTAGACTCAAGCATGAGAGATAAATCAGCCATTGCTGGTACTTTTGCTGTTGGCCTGAAAGGTATACAATACCTGTACATGGAGGCTCTTCTCAGCTACTGCTTACAACTGGACAGTAACCTTCCATGAATTTGTCTGCTCCCGTTCTTATTTGAGTGTTTCTCAGAAGCTTGTAACGAAATCTTTAGTTTGTTCTGCATGTGTGTGTGAGAGAGAAATGCATGCCTTAGTAACCTTTGTAGTTAGTCCACCATGGTTTACTGTAGTGTAGTGTAGTTTAGAAGGCTTGGATCAAAGTTTTTTTTTTTTTTTTATTTGATTTATATGCCGCCCTTCTCCGGAGACTCAGGGCGGCTTACAATGCGTTAAGCATTTTAGGGAAGCCAGCTAGATCATTTCTCCTTCCATGTCACAATGATGCCGCTCCGACTTTCATCTGGCTGCTAAATTATTTTTAATCCTGCTTTCATCCAAATGGGCATACAGGTTTCCTTCATATGAAAGAAGCTAACTTCATGGAAAAAAATTGTTTTTATTTAAAGGTATACAGCATCACATTTTGTGTTCATTTTCTAAACCAGGGATGTCCAACCTTGGCAACTTTTAAGACCTGTGGATTTCAACTCCCAGAATTCATCAACCAGAGCTGTCCAGGGAATTCTGGGAGTTGAAGTGCACAAGTCTTAAAGTTGCCAAGGTTGGACAACCCTACTCTAAGTTCCTGACTATGGATAGAGCCCTCCCCCTCATTCCCATGAGAGGGGGGGCGTTAGGTGGGAGGGAAGGTGCATGTGCAGGGTAAGCAGGGCCGGATTTAGATGAAAAGAGGCCCTAGGCTATTCCACTTATGAGGCCCTTTCACCTATAGTGAAAGTGTAATTTTAATTTTGCTAACAATTTGAATGTAGGCCCCTCTTGATCTTGAGGCCCCCTCTTGATCTTGAGGCCCTAGGCTGAAGCCTAGTTAGCCTATAGGAAAATCCGGCCCTGAGGGTAAGGAATGAGGGGATTGGAAAGAGCCAACATGCAGGAATTTAGAATGAAGGCTGGGCTAGAATTTCAGGAAAAGCAGAAATTGGTTATGCACTGCAGCAGCCAGCTCGGGGTATAAATAAAATAATTAAAATGCCTTTCTGCAAACTTCTGTCAGGTTAGGAGTGCAGGCCAGCCGGGAGGCCTCTAGAAACACAAAAGAGGCTTTTGAAGCAGGGTCGGCGTTATGACAGATACTCTCCCATGCCTTGCAGCCAGATTAGAGAGGAAAAGTTGTATTCTTTTCTACAGCTGCGGTCCTGAGGCCAAGGCAATAAGCCCCAAGCCTTTAGAACAAGGCTTTTTGAACTTGGCAACTATGTGATGATGGGTGGACTCCAATTCCCAGAATTCCCCAGGCAGCATGGAGGCTGGAAACCAGGAGGGAGGGGGGAGTCTTAGGGTCACCGGCTTTATTTCCACTGACTTTCTGCCTTTCCAGAAAAAAAAGTTCACTCAAAATTTGGTTATCAAAGAATCAAGTAGAAAATGTGACCATTATCAAATCCACTTTCCCTGTCCTCCCCCCCATCTGCCCCCCAACCCAGCTGGCTGCTCAATCAAACACACCCTGGAATGGGTGGGCAACTATGGGGATTCTGGGAGTTGTAGTCCATAGGGGCCATAGTTGCCCAGCCCTGCCCTGGAACCAGAGGCTTGTCCAGCAGTCCTAGAGAGCAAGGAAAATTTGCCAAAGTCTGTAAAGAAAAAGAAAAAAAAAAGAAGGGGGGGGAAACACAAGTAACAGAGAATTCTGGCTGCCGGGGACCGGGGTGGGGGGGTGGGGGGTGGGGGAGGGACGGATGGACGACAGCACAGCTTTTGTGAGTAACCTGCCCACCTCTGCTTTGTGGTCTGCATCAGAAAGAGAAGTTGTGGCTGTGAGCAATTCTCTCCAGTGGCCTTGGGTCTTGCAGCAGCCCCTTCTAGTGAGATTTGTGGGGAAGGAGGACAATTGTCTCTCCCCCCCCCCCAAGTGAGCCTTTAGTGTTTCTCAGCTGCCCCGGTCTGCACTGGAAGGGTTCTCACAAGGTCTGTTTTTAATATGTTGCATTTATTTGTATCCTGCCTTTATTATTTTTACAAATAACTCAAGGGAACAAACATACATGGGATTCTTTCCTCTGGTTGTTTCCCGCACAACAGCCCTATGAGGGAGGGTTGGGCTGAGAGGGAATGAGTGGCCCAAAGTCATCCAGCCAGCTTTCATAGCTAAGATGGGGCTAGAACTCACCATCTCCTGGTGACGATTGCCAAGCACGAAAGCAAGTCATCCAGCTGGCTTTCGTGCTTGGCAGGACTACAACTCCCAGCCACCTGGTGACTGGGCCCAAATCACCCAGCCGGCTTTTGTGCCTAAGGTGGGACCAGACCTCCCCATCTCTCAGTTTCTGACCTGATGCCTTACCCGCTTAAAGCACTTTCCTGTTTTTTTCTCCTGCCCCGTGCCCAGCTCTCTCGGGGGTTGGGGATAGGAGAGAGTTTGGTAAGAGAAGAGGGGGTGGCATTAGTGGGGGAGAAAAGTAAGCCCAGTTTGAGGGGGCTTTGTGGGTTCAGAAATAGATCCAAACTAAATTTTACTTGTGGGGTCCTTAATGCTCTCTGAGTTTGGTTGTTTTCTCGCAGACGTTTCATGACCCAACTAGGGAACATCATCAGTGTTAGTGAGTTTTACTTACTTTAAACGTTTCCTCTGCCAGGACATACCCAGCCTGGTTGCCAGTTTGGAATTTCCCTTCTGCCCTCCCTACTTTTCCGTTTGTAAAACCTCTGGAAGTGGGGAACTAGTCTGAGGGGCACTTCTGGCCAGCTGGGGGCTTGGCCTGCTGCTTCTAGAGCCACCGAGTCTGCTCCGTCCAAAGAGCAGGAAGCCGGGCCTGGCAACTCCCCCCAGTTCCCTTTTTCTCTCTGGGCCTGTGTCTGTCTGGGGGGGGGGGGGAGGGGGGAGGCATGGTTCATCTTAACCTTAATGGTGAAGATTCTGCCTAGAACTAAGCAGCCCAAGTTGCTCTACTTTAAAGCAAAGTGCAGGGGTGCAAGCCAGGCCCTTGAATTAAAAGATTGAATACTTCCATGCTTCTTAATTTGCTAAAACGGCAGGGCCTCAGTCCAACCTTGGCCCCTATGAGACCTGTGGACTTCAACGCCCAGAATTCCCCAGCCAGCCCCCCCCCAAATACAGAGACCTTTCTCTTGTCCCTTTGAGTGAGGGGGTGAGAGACCCAGGAAGCAAAGAGGTCTATCAGTAACGGGGGGCCTGGGGTTCCTCCGTGGAGCCTTCCTGTTTGGAGGTCCAGAGA